CTTCCGCTTTCCACCGTAGGTGTAGGCGTCGCCGTGGCTGGGGCAGCAGGTGGTGTTGTGGGCCCGGGACTACCCGAAGTCTTTTCCTTCGCATGGTCCAACTCCCACACATTCAGCCTCCAAGGCTTGTAGTAGGAAAGGTAATCCAATCTCAACTCGGCATTCTTCCGCGCCACGTCCTTGCGACGTTTCATGATGATGTCGCGGAAGGTGTCCTTCAGACGTTCATGAGTGGCCGCATTCTCCTGGTAAACCTCCAAGTCCGATAACGGTGTGGGTGGGCCAGAGTTCAAAAACGGCAGACTCTCGAGAGTAAGTGCATCGGCCGCAGGAACAGAATCCAACACCACCTTTGCTGGTGGCTCATGTTCTTCAGCCTTGCCATTCGGCTCACTTTCCATCTCGGGTGCCGAGGGTTCCTCCTTGGCTATCTTGGTATCCTTAGCTAACACCGGAGGTGTGGATGCCTTTTCAGGAACCTGGTCATGGGCAATCATCCCCAAATACTGGATGCGCATAAGTAGCGCCACGATATTGGGGTCTTCCAATGGTGGGGGCGGCAGCTCGGCACGGAGAGCATTCATATCCTTTTCGAAAATCTGCTTCCGTTCTTCTAGATAGTCTTGTGTAAACACAACATTCTCGTCCTCTTCTTCATCGCTTGAACGTCCAAAATCCGGTATGACGACGGTGCTCTGATCCTTGGGTGCCTCTTTGGGTGCTTCCTTCAATGCTTCTTTAGGTGCTTCCTTCGGTGCTTCCTTCGGTGCCTCCTTAGGTGCCTCACTGGGCGCCTCCTTGGGCACTTCCTTCTCCGCAGGCTTCTCTTCGGCAGCTGGCGTTTTCGCGACAATTTCGGGCATATCCACGTCCATGGCCGACTCAAACGACACCGTGGGATTTGGGGGCTTTGATTCTACCGGTTCATCTTCGCCGACAATCTCACCCGCCTCGAGTCCGTTGGCAGACTCATCGGCCTGGCTGTGCGACTCGAGCTTGAGGTCTTCACTAAGAGACAGACTTCGCTCTTTTCCATCGATGGAATCGCGCTTTGATGATGGTGCAGCACTTGGACCAGAGGGTGCGCCGGGGAATCCCGCACGCACCCATTGTTTCATAGCTTTCGAAGAGCCACGAGGGATTGACGGGCGTTGCTGAAGCGCACGGGGTCCGGTAGGAATACTCGATGTAGGCATCCGAGGTGAAGTGTGCGGACCCGGGGAAGTGGCTGACCCTGCGGCCGATGGCCTCCGTCCAAGTTCTGGGGAGGTTATTGTGGGCCCTAGCTTTCTTGGAGACGGTGTTTCGTGAGCGCCTGGTGCATCTTTCTGAACCATCGCCGCGGGAGCAGTAGGAGGTGAGATATCTGTCGGTTTCGGCCCGCCGGCTGCTGCTGCGACATGCGGCTTCGGGGGACGGGTAGCCGGCTCAGGCTTCAGCGGGATATCAGGCGTTTCTTCACGGCGCGTATCATCACGTCGAACCCTTTGCTCCAGCGGCTGTTGGGGAGGACCTCGCTCCGCTTTGGGCGCGGTCGGTGGATGCATTGGGGCTTTTGGCGGAAGCTCATGCCGTTCCTTCTCCGATCTCGTAGCTGCGGCGGCTGTTGATGTCGAATCTACCGGGAGTTTCTCCAGTTTTTCGGATTTTTCGACCTTGTCAGGCTTCTCAAGCTTTTCTGGCTTCTCTGGCTTCTCCGGCTTGTCCTGCTTATCCTGCTTCTCAGGCTTCTCAGGTTTCTCGGCAGAAATTTCGGGAAGGGGCGCGGTGACGGAACCGAATGCTGGCACCTGGGGAGCAGCGGGGGGCGGGGATCGTTTCACGGGAGGAGGAACCAAGTCCTTCGCTGGCTGCTCCGGGAGAGGCGCCGGTGGTTCGATGCGCTCGATGCGTTCAATACGTTCAATGCGGTCCATGCGTTGCGAATCACGACGTGCCTCTCCTCCCGAGGGCTTACGAGGGGGCTCTGCGGGTGGAGGGTCTGGAAGCCGTTCAGGCAGACCAGGAACCGGGAGGACAGTTGGCCCAGTCACCGACGACACTGTTGAGCTGCTCGGGATTCGATTCTCGGCGCGACTGGGAGGACGATCGCGCTTCCAATGATCGCCGGGTCGGTCACGTTCATCGCGTTCAACCCGACGGTCCACCTCCTCCCGCCGTTCGAACCTTTCCCGTCGTTCGAGCTCCCGTTCCCTGTCGCGCTCGCGCCGCTCAGGATCGCGATCACGATCGAGGATCACCCGGTCGCGGTCCCGATCACGATCACGGTCCCGCTCGCGATCTAAAATCCGGTCTCGTTCACGCTCCCGATCCCTTTCCCGATCGCGGTCCCTCTCGCGCTCGCGCTCCCGGTCCCAGCGGGCGTCTCGTGACCGACTTCGACGTCTGAAGGAGTCTCGATCGTCCAGGTACGGCATTCGACCACGACCACGTCCCGAGTCCCATTCACCTCGGCCCCGTCCACGCATGGGTGGGCCACTGCGGGGATGATGACCGCCACCGGACGGGACATCCGGTACTGCGGATGATACCGAGATCATGCTGTCTCGGGAGCCCCGTCGCATTCGAATCATGTCTGCATCTCGTCCGAGGGGTTCTCTCATATCGCGAAAGTCGCGGGGAGGCGGAGGGGAGCGCGAGCGGCCACGGCCAAAGCCGATCCGCGACTCACGGGGATCGAAGTCGCGGTCACGGCGGCCCCAGTCTCGGTCCCGGTCGAGATCTCGGCGAAAGGGCGGTGGTCCATCCCGAATATCTCGAAAGTCGCGATCACGGTCGCGATCTCGATCTCGTACGTCGCGGTCCCGGTCCCGAAAATCTCCACGGCCCGGATAACCTCTGCCACGCCCACCGAATGGGGCTCCTCGCGGGGGATCGATCAAGGCTTTGGGACCCCGGGGGGGTTCTCTCCCCAGCGGGGGTAAATTCGCATCATCAGTGCCACGGGGGCCAACAGGGGGTCGACGGTCACCGAAGCGTTGGGGCGAACGATCACGGGAATTGAACCCAGACAATGGAGGGTATCTGGACGACATCACCAGGTCATGCTAGTGAGCGTGAGCTAAAGTAACCTGGCAGGAGAGCCTGCCACAGGTTAGTTGCAAGGTAAATTGAGATAAGATCGTGATGGTGATGTGAATGGTAAGTAGATGTGAGTATTATTAAAAAAAGAAAAAGAAAAAAAAAAAAACACAGAAAAAAGAAAAGAAAAAAAACCTCAAGAGAAAGGGTCACACAATGAGCGCAATGAATGGTAGGCAGGGAAGAATAGCCAGCAAAGGGACGGAACTGGTCCCAGCAGAGGCAAGACAAGACGAGACGAGACAGCCGCCGGCCGCAGCAGCAGCGGCCAGTCAGAAGCGCCTAAGGCGGCGAACGGGGAGTGGAGAGCACGTGACGGCAGGGAAGCATGGAAGGGGGCACGGGCCAGGCAGCCAGGCAGGCCAGCTTAGCTAAGCAGCCAATGAGTGGCGCCCAAATCGGACTGCGGATCCCAATTTGGCACTGAAGCAAGATTGCAGCCATGATTGACGGATTCCATCACCTTAGCGCCAGCCACTTGGCGCGGCCTGTTTCACCCGGAACTGCCAGCGCCTGTGGGAGCATTTTTCAAGGTGGATCGATCGTCCAAGGGAAGTCACAGGATCAGAACCTGTTCATGATCATGGTGGATTTGACCCCAGTCCGCCAGAAAGGAAAAAAGGAGGAGCATGGCCCTTTCTCCTGGGGTTTGACATTTGGGTTTGGAATGGGGGATTGAAGGAGGCGTGCCGAAAGTTCGATGCTGGCCGATCCCGTGTCTCCGGGACAAAGTGACTGGTGACAAAAAGTGAAGCACGATCCTGCACCCACGGACGACTAGCCCAGCCCAGCCCACGACCAACGCAAGAAAAAAGGAGGGAGGGTAGTAATGACAGGCGTAAAAACCAAAACTGGGCATCAAACTGGAAAGCGCGCGTAAAATAGCAAAATTAAAGGAGAAATCTCCGCACCTGGGAGCCTATGCAACGTGTCAAGCCGTGAACCCAAAGTAGACCTGCAAGGAGACCACGCCGGGCAGCAAAATCGCAAATTGCAAGCAGTTACGGGAAAGTCTGCTTCTGGGATTATTCGAGACCCGTTCGTTGCTGTGTCTCGGAAATCGGAGCCGAATGAAAACGTCGAGGACCAGCCTGAGGGGGAATAAAGTAGGGACGCGAGTTGTTGAATCGAATAATACAAAGAGATTCGAGATGAAGGAAAAGAGTGAGTGTGTGTATATGATGTGCGCGTAAACTGATGAAGAGGGGCGGGGGGTGTTCGATTTGAAGGTGAGAAAGAGAAGAATGGGGGAGAGGGGGAGTGAGTGAGTGAGTTTGGTGGTGGTTTGAAGGCAGAGGATCTTGAAAGACAAAAACGGAGGAAGGAGAAATGGGGCAGAGACGATGGATGGATCCCTGGTGAAGGGCAGCGGTTGGATGGTTGGATGGGCTGAGTTTAGTTGGGCCAGGGACTTTCCCTCGGCCACGACTGACTGGTCTTAGTGTGACTAGTTAAAGGGAACTCAAAAATAACTCTGGATCGCCTCCCCCGGCGTGCATGCCTCAGGCGAGGATCTCTTGCCCTGTCGGGAAGGCCCCATCAATGATGACTAACTTACATGTTTATGCCTCAGGCATTCATTGGCTAGCTTAAAGGTGTACGGAGGATCGCTGGGACTTACCCGGCGATGGCTCGGTCTAGCTTATTGCCTGACTGCCTTACTGCCTTACTGCCTGGGGCATCAGCATGGCGGGTGTCACGAAACGGGCTGTCACACCCCCGCCAATCCCGCCGCCTGCAGAAAAATTTCCAGAAGAGACGGAGGGGATCATCATCCAATTCATCCCGCATTTGAGTGCCCCGGGTTTACTCCTCGCCTATATCAATTTGGTCCCCGCTTAATTGATAGACTCGGCATTTTCTTCACGCTATTGATTACTTCGGCATTCTGGTTTATATTTTCTTTTCGCTCGACAGCCATGTCCGCACAAGACTCCGCCGCGGGCAATGCCCCTCCCTCTGCAGTCACCGATGCCGTGTTGGTGGCCTCGGAGCCCGTGCCTGAGGGGACGCAGCAGGTCAGCGGCGTCGACTTTGACCGATTCCAAGGCCGGGATATCACGGTCGCCGAGATGGTGGACAACATGAAATACACCGGATTCCAGGGCAGTGCGGTCGCTGAAGCCGCCCGCATCGTCAACGAGATGGTTCGCATCCTGTCTTCTTCCCGGCCATTGAGTGACCTAGCAGTGTAGCTAATTCCGTGACACCTTTACATAGCAAGCCTACCGTCATCCAGAGACCGGCGAGAAGACCACCATCTTTCTCGGATACACTTCCAACCTGATCTCCTCCGGCCTTCGAGACACCATCCGCTACCTGGTCCGCAACCGTCACGTCTCCGCCATTGTCACCACGGCCGGCGGTGTTGAGGAAGATCTTATCAAATGCCTGGCTCCCACCTACATGGGCTCGTTTACTGCCCCCGGCGCCGGACTGCGGGCCAAAGGACTGAACCGGATCGGCAACCTCATCGTCCCGAACAGCAACTACTGTGCATTTGAAGACTGGTTGATCCCCATCCTGGATAAGATGCTGGAGGAACAGGAGGCTGCCAAGAAGAAGGCACTGGAGACTGGCGATGAGGAGGATGAATTGCATTGGACCCCCAGCACAATCATTGAACGCCTCGGCCGCGAGATCAACCACGAGGACTCGGTTCTGTACTGGGCTGCTCGTAACAACATTCCGATCTTCTGTCCCGCCCTCACCGACGGCTCCCTGGGCGATATGCTCTACTTCCACACCTACCGCTCCTCTCCGCAACGGCTGCGGGTCGACATTGTGGACGATGTGCGCCGCATCAACACCATGGCTGTCCGGGCCGCGCGGGCCGGCATGATCATTCTGGGTGGCGGAGTCATCAAACATCACATTGCCAACGCCTGTCTGATGCGCAACGGGGCCGAGCATGCCGTGTACATCAATACGGGACAGGAGTTTGACGGCAGCGATGCGGGGGCCCGACCGGATGAGGCCGTCAGCTGGGGTAAGATCAAAGCCGACGCCAAGGCCGTCAAGGTCTATGCAGAAGCCACAGTGGTCTTCCCGCTCATAGTTGCGGCCTCGTTTGCCCGAGCCAGTCCGGCGACCCCCAACGGTGAAACGTCTCAGAACTGAGTGTGAGTTTGAGGGACATCACTCCGATAGGCATATTCTCTGCTATCTGTTAAACGCCAACTCCCCTCTACTTTTCGCAATGCTTCCTCTCAACTTGATAAAAAAAAAATTGATTACGACCCGACCTAGGCCTGCTGTGTCTATCGACCGTGAGAGCTTCCCCCCTTCACGACAGCTCGGGCCGTTTGGTTGACAGAGGGGCAGCGACAGGGGCGGGCCCCGGCGTGGCAGGCACGCGAAAGGCGCCCCACATCATCCCCTCGAGTTAGGAGGCAAATCGGAGGCTTTGGTTCCGATCAAACACAGAAAGAAAAGAAGAAGAAAAAAAAAGAACAGGACAAAACAAAGCACGCAAGAGGGGCCAACCCCCTGGGATGAATTCTGCACGGAGAAGAGCAGCCGCCCGCCCCCTTGAAGAGCCGGAAGTCCGGAACCCACAGGCTTTGGAACCTCGGCGGAGGCAAAGTTTGGAAGGACGAACGAAGGTGGATGGCAAATCATGGGGAGGAAGAGAGTTGAGATGGACTTGGATTGCCGGGGGTCGTTCCACCGGTCGATCATTGCGGTCGGCACGGGGTTTTCATGGCAATAAAGTTTCATTCTTCCGACTTAACTTGCCACCCACTTGTTGGTGGGGGATCCATTCAAGCAACTGATTGCCCTGATTGACCTGTCATGGGAAGATAATATTGACATGCAGGATGGAGGGGGAATTAGTATGGAGGTATGGTATAGATTAGATTTTTGTCTTGTGTTTGGATAATGGATATAGAGTGATACAAATGATTAATGAGATTACGAGCTCCGAAGAAGGATTGATTGATTGATTGAAGCAGACTAATGACAGGTCAGTTCCTGTCTTTCTCTGGGCTGCAGGGATGCGACGCCCCGCGCAGTCGATCCGTCCGGTCATTCGGTCGAATCGCAGGCCCGTATCATATCATTTTCCTTGGTATGGAGTAGATTGATTGATTTCTCCCACCCCGAATTCTTTTATCCGTTGGGACTTGGGGGAGAGGGAGAGAGATACTCAAGGGGGCACCACCACCTGACGGATCCGAAATTGGGACCCGGGTGGCAATCGAGAAAGAAGGTCCAGTTCCAGTTCCAGTTCCATCGGGAGTGGATTGCAGGGGGGTCAGTCGAAGGCAAGACTTGAAGGGGACAAGTTGGGCCAGTCCGCGTCCAGGTTGCGGACCCTCAAGCAGCAGCTGCCAGAGGATCATTGGATGCCAACCAGCGGTGAGGATCCGTGATCTGGTCCTGGGCTGCATTGCCGCCTCATCCTTTTTCTTTTTTCCCCCATTTCTATGCTGCATTTCCTTTCTTTTTTCTTTTTTTCCCAATCCCATCAATTCTTCTTTTTTTTGTTTCTCTCAATATTTTTTGCTTTTCTTCTTTCGTTTCGAGAGAAGTGTCTTTCTTTCTTTCCCCTTTTCATCCTTCTTTCTCTTCCTTTCCCATCTCAACTTCTCTCTTTTTCCTTATCTTCACCCCTCTCTATCACTCCCACTTCCCGCCCGATCTATATATATATATTATAGACCCCCTTCTATCCACCCTCGCCGATTGTTCCTTGGGTTTACCGCTCTGGGCCTAGGGTTACCCCAGTTTCCCTCACTAAAGTACTAGTACTAGACTCGTTCTACTGGTGCTGATAAGCCCAGTTGCCTATTCTTATCGCCCGACCTTCTAGACTTTCATTGCTTCGTTGGTTAACTTACTTGTTCGTTGGGCTGTCGTGCTTTTATCTGGCTTGTCATTGCTCGCTATTGCTCTTCTGGTGTGATTTGTCCTATTTTTTATTCCTCTTCTGCCACCTTGAGTTCTTGCTTCCCCTCCATCCCCACCCTCCCTTGCCGATTGTGAGGAGAATCTCATCTCTCTCTTATTTCTTCTTCTTCTTCTTCTTTTCCCCTCCACAGCAGCATCTGAATGTGTGGGTTTGCCTAGATCAGTCTCACTTGCATTCAGAGCCTGGCTGCCAAGGCTACTCGTGTTGCTCTCTTCTTTGGCTCTTCTCACCTGCGGCTCTGTCAGCCTACCGGTTGGTCGGCTTATTTGCTGCTGCTTTGCAACTGTCCTCTCTTTTCATCTGAACTGTGTCGGTTGTCTTCTCTGCTAAGTTAGTTGTCTTCGTTGTCTGTCTGCTTTCTTTCTTTCTATTTGCACAATGGATGCCTCTCCGGATTCTGGCTCCAATGTGGAGCAGCAGCAGCAGCAACAACAACAACAACAACAACCCATCACACTCAGCACTCAAGTCCCCCCTGAGTCGGTCAGGGAAACCACCGTCACCATCGAGGCGGCTACAGATGACTCTACAGTCCCTGTCACAAACCCCATCACAACAAGCATCCCCTTAGAGCCCCCCTCATCGGATTCACCCCCAGTCGAGATTCAGGATGAGGCACCTCGAGTCGATATCCCGCCTCCGGTGCAAGCAGACCCCGTTCCGGTGATTCAGCCCCCCCAACCGGAGCTGGAACATGCCTACTGGGCTGATATCGAGGAGGATCTGTCGGTTCCCGATGAGGCAGAGATGAAGGAAATTGAATCGGCGGCGGATGGCGACTACAGCGCCTACGAGTGTAAGCTCACACAAGCAGTTCCGGCAGAGCTGGTTCAGAACTATGATAGCTGACAACATCAGATGACTACTGGGAGAAGAACTTCCACCCCGATCTGGACGACCCCGAATACCGCCCGGCGGAGAAGGCCCGCATGACATGGAAGATCAAGGGCGTGCGAGGCACCCCAGACGCCCCCAACCGCGTCAAGATCATGCGTTCTCCGCCCGCATACATGGGTGGTTATTGGTGGACCATCAAGTTCTTCCCCCGTGGGAACAACGTGAATTCGCTCAGTATCTACATCGAGTGCTCTCCGACCATGCCCCCGCCCGACAAGAATCTGCCCGAGAGCGAGTTTAAGGTAATGCACGGCCCGGCTGATGCAGCCCTGGATGTCAATGCACCGGACGTCGACATGAAGTTCGCTCAGACCAACGATTCCGCAAGTTGGTTGGAGGCTTTCAAGGCCCAGTACCCCGCTGCCGCTCATCAGGCAGATTCAACCGGCACCAAGTCCTGGCGGGTTTCGGCTCAAATTGGCGTCATTCTGTATAACCCCGAGGAGCCGCGGACGGGCTGGATGCAGTCCTCGTGCCATCAGTTCAACCCCCACAACCTGGACTGGGGCTGGACCAACTTCCACGGTCCCTGGGACCAGATCCACCGCCGCCAGCGAGGCCAGCGTCAGGCGCTTCTCCGCAACGATACCCTGGCGTTTGATGCGTATATCCGCATTGTCGACGACCCCACCCGCTCCCTCTGGTGGCATGCTAGTGACACCGAGCCGACGTGGGACAGCCTGAGTCTCACGGGCTACCGGCCGTTGGGTGACTCCGTCATCAACCATAGTGCCGAGGTGGCTGGGTTGGCTACCTGGGTGCATATGGCGCCTTTCTGCAAGATCATCCAGAAGGCCAATGTCCTGGAGCATCTGACTAGCTGCGATGTCAAGCCGAAGCCGCTCTGCGATGCACTACAAAAGTTCCTGTGGCAACTGCGCTCCCGGGGCCAATCGCTGCAGTATGTGGATACGGACATGATCACCTCGACCTTGCGTAACCTGCACGAATACTCCGGCGATGTGTGCGAGTTCTGGGAACGTTTACGCCGCACGCTCGAAATCGAACTGGCAGGCACAGACGCGGGGCAGGAATTGGCCAGGCTGTTCGACAGCCCGTCAATCGAGTCGCTCCCCAGCGAAGCGCAGACTCAGGACGTGATCAACACTGTCCCGAAGGACTACAACTCCCGAATTTGTGTGCCGGCTGACCAAGTCAAGACCACCAGTGAAGCCTTCAGCTGGTACTTGAGTGCCAAGCCCGGACGCTGGGTGCTTCCCCCGGTGCTTCACTTGGAGTTGGGCCGTCAGAAGTTGGACAAGGCTGCTCGGCAATGGCGTTTGCTTTACAACCGAGTTGATCTGGATGAGGAGCTGGACTTGACGCCATGGCTGCTGGATGGCCAGGAAGGCAAATACGTCCTCTACGGCTACATCGTTCACCGTGGCCGGCGTACGTCTGGCAAGTTCTTCAGCATTCTGCGACCGGGAGGCCCTGGAACCAGGTGGCTTGCTTTCGATGATGGCAGTGACAACCGTGTCGAATGCCTGACTCGGAAGACCGCCTTGGGCCCTCACCTCGGCCTGGACGCCTTCCAGAAGGTGGACCACAAGACCGGCCATGATGTTGCCATTGCCGTGATGTACATCCGCAGTGATGTCGTCCAGGAGTTCTTGCCTGGCCCGCAAGGTCCATGGGACGTGCCCGCGAGTCTGAAAGAGTACTATGAAACGGGCATCCCTCCGGTGCAATTGGATGACAAGTGCGACAAGGATGAGATCAACGTGGAGGTCTACTCGCTGCCGAAGTACGATCAATTGGGCAGCTTGTTCGATACGTATGATTTGATGTCACAGGCCAAGTTGGAAAACGGTGTCATGTATCTGACTGTGCCCCGCTCGTCCAATTATGTTGATCTCCGAAAGAAGATTGCCATGTGGGCATCTGCCAAGTCTAGCGAGAGCACTTGTGCCGAGCATGTCCGGCTGTGGCAGATCGGTCACACTCGTGACCAGTTCGGGCCTACCCTTGCATTTGCTCGTATCTCCGACCTGACGAGCACCTTGGACTTTCCGCTGAAGACGGTCCGTTTCTGGATGCAGGTTGTCTCTGATGGTATGTATCTTCCTCCCTTACGTATTATACACCTTACTAATTCACAAGAGCAGAGAACGCCAAATTCTTCGCCATAGCGGATCCACCACAGGCGATTTCGATTCAAGCCAAGCCTGAGGAGGCTGTGGTCGAACGCGCGGGTTCAGAATCCTCGGAAGATAGATTGCCTCTTCCCGAAGGTGAAGCTGCCCGCGCGAGCTCATCGGGAACTGTACCGGAGAACAGCATTAGTGCAACTGGGGGTGCGACAATC